CATAAAAAACCTAGAATTCAAAGTAACTTTCACCTTGTGAAGAGGTCATAAGTAGCACTGAAGTAGTAGTATTAATTCATAAATAGCACTGAAGTAGTAAATAAGAATTTGAATGCTTGAGCTCAAGAATTTTTTTAATCCATGTCACTCAAAAGAATTAGTAAGAAGTTTATTAGTGGTTACCAGGAGCAGGTGAGGGAAAAGGGGAACTTACTGCTCAGGAGACACTGAGCTTCTGTTAAGGGTGATGAAAAAATTCTGAAGTGGATAATGGTGATGGCTGAATAACATGACAAACATAATTATGTCACTGAATTGTACATACAAAACAAAAGAACACTAAAAAGTATTTACTATGTCTGGACCACAAACAACTGTAAGCAATGTAAGAAATGATTTAGACTGCTATGTGATTTTTAGAAAGTATAATTTAGACCTTTTGGCAAAACTTCAATTTATTCTAATTCTCCAAGTTAAAAATATCTTGGCTTGATACATGCATCTGAATGGGCATATTAAATACATCTGTATAAACCACTAAAATTAGAACACTAAAATGATAAATTATTTTCAATTTGGGTGATATTTAACAATTTATAGGAGACATGATGGTACAAGGGTTAAAACACTCAGCTACGAACTGAAAGGCTGCCAATTCAAACCCACCAGCCATTCTGTAGGAAAAAGATGTGGCAGTCCTCTTCCACATTTGTTGTTGTTTGGTGCCATTAAGTTGATTCTGACCCATACCAATCCACATACAACAGAACCAAACAGTGCCCAGTCCTGTGGCATCCTTACAGTTGTAGCTATATTTGAGCCCACTGTTGCAGCTATTGTGTCAATCCATCTCACCGAGGGTCTTCCTCTTTTCACTGACCCTCCACTTTACCAAGCATGATGTCCTTCTCCAGGGACTGCTCCCTCCTGATAACATGTCCAAAGTACATGAGATGAAGTCTGGCCATTCTCATTTCTAAGGAGCATTCTGGCTGTCCTTCTTTTAAGACAGATTTGCCTGTTCTTCTGGAAATCCACAGTTTATTCAATATTCTTTGCCAATACCATAATTCAAAGGCATCAATTCTTCTTTTATCTTCTTTATTCACTGTTCAGCTTTCACAAGCATAGGAGGCAATTGAAAATACCATAACTTGTGTCAGGTGCATTTTAGTCCTCAAAGTGACAGCTTTGCTTTTTAATACTTTGAAGAAGTCTTGCAGATTTTCCCAATGCAATACGTCATTTGATTTCTTGACTGCTGCTTCCATGGACATTGACTGTGGACCTAAGCAATAAGAAATCCTGACAACTTCATTCTTTTCTCTGTTTATCATGATGTTGTATATTGGTCTACTTGTGAGGATTTTTGTTTTCTCTATGGTGAGGTATAATCCATACCCAAGGCTGTAATATTTAATCTTTGTCAGTGAGTGCTTCAAGTCCTCTTCACTTTCAGCAAGGAAGGTTGTGTCATTTGCATATCACAGGTTGTTAGTAAGTCTTCCTCCAATCCTGATGCCATGTTCTCCTTCATACAGTCCAGCTTCTCAGACTACTTGCTGTGGTAGTTCAGTTTGTGTGTCAACTTGGCTAGGCCTGGTTGAGTGGCTGGGCAGCTGGATGTAGTATTTCCTATGATGAGACTGGCAAACAACTCCATGGTGGAATCTAGTGTGAGCAGCTGAGTAGCTGCTTTGGATATGTGGTCTGCTTCCCATATATAACCAGCAACTTTGGGAATGGTCTCTAGCCTATGGCACACTTGAACCCTGCATGTAGCCGTGTCATTGTTCAGCAGCCTGCCATGTTCTACTGACCTTGGGACTTTCAATGGACTTGAATTAATGGCCTGTCATGTGGTTTGGTAACATTGGGACTGTGCCTTTTTACTTGTCAACCTTGGGCTTGTCAGCCTCAGCAGCCAGCAGCTGAGTGAAAAGAAGCCTCCAGCTTCAGTGGGCTGGGAGCAGGAGGCAGAGCTGAAGCCTAAGGTTGAGGGGCTTTCACCCAGCCCGTAGAGACTGGCACTTTGAACTCGGACTTAACGCCTCCAAACTGTAAGAGAATAAACTCCTGCTTGTTCAAGCCATCCCACTGTGGTACATTCCTGTCAGAGCAGCACTAAGTAACCAGAACACTTGCTCAGCATACAGACTGAACAAGTATGGTGAAAGGCTAGAACCCCAACATGTACCTTTCCTGATTTTAAACCACACAGTATCCCATTGTTCTGTTCAAATGACTGTCTCTTGATCTACGTGCAGATTCTGCATGAGTACAATTAAGTGTTCTGGAATTCCCATTCTTTGTCACATGATCTATAATTTCTTATGATCCACACAGTTGAATGCTTTTGCATAGTCAATGAAACACAGTCAAACATCTTTCTGGTATTCTTTGCTTACAGCCAAGATTCATCTGACATCTGCAATGATATCCCTCATTCCATGTCCTATTCAGAATCTGGCTTGAATTTCTGGCAGTTCCTTGCTGATACTACCACAACTGTTTCTGAATTATTTTCAGCAAAATTTTACCTGTGTGTGTCAGTTTGTCTGTCGGTCTATTGTACTATGGTGGCTTGCACTGTTGCTGTGATGCTGGAATCTATGCCACCAGTATTTAAAATATCAGCAGGGTCACCCATGGTAGACAGGTTTCAGTAGAGCTTCCAGGCAAAGACAGACTAGGAAGAAAGACCAGGCAATGTACTTCTAAAAAAAACTGGTCAGTGAAAACCTTATAAATAGCAATAGAACACTGATAAATCAGAAGAAAGCCCCCAGGTTGGATGGCACTCAAAATACGTTTGGGGAAGAGCTGCTTCCTCAAAGTGAATCAATCTTAGTGATGTGGATGGAACAAAGCTTTCAGGACCTTCATTTGCTGATGTGGCACAACTCAAAATGAGAAGAAACAGCTGCAAGCATCCATTAATAACTGGAATGTAGAATGTATGAAGTATGAATTGAGGAAAATTGGAAGTTTTCAAAAATGAAATGAAATGCTTGAAGAGATATCCTAGGCATTAGTGAGCTGAAATGGACTGGTATTGGCCAATTTGAATCAAACATTCACATGGTTACTATGACAGGAATGACAAATTGAAAAGGAACAGCAATGCCTTCATTATCAAAAAACAACATTTCAAGATCTATCCTGAAGTATAACATTCTCAGTGACAGATAACATCCATAAAGATTTACAGCCTTGGAAATTATATTGGGGGTAGGCAGGGCATGGCTGTTTGTACTCTAGCCTATAGAGTCACTATAAGTCAGAATCAACTCAAGAGCAACAGATTTGGTTTGGGTTAACAATTTATAAACTTGACTTGCATGTTATTAAACAATTTTTCAAGGCAAATAGTTCTTATTCACTCTTTAATTGTTCCCCATCCAAAAAAACCTCTTGAATTCTAACCTTTTACTGCAATTAACTACAGTAACAACTTAGTTTAATGCTATCTTTAGTGAATTTAAAAAAAAGGAAAACTCTTCCCTAGTACATCAATGTTCATTGTGGCACCATTCACAATAGCCAAAAGGTGAAAAGAAGCTCATCAACACATACGTACAATGGAATACTGCTCAGCCAGTAGGGAAAATGGAATCTTGATACATGCTGCAGTGTGGATGGAGCTTAAAGACATCATGTATGCTGAGCAAAATAAGCTGATCACAAAACGACAAAATTTTTTATGACCTCACTTATATAAAAAGACAAGAAAAAGCAAATGTATAGATACCAAAGTTCATTAGTGGTCATCAGGGAAAAAGAAAACCAAAACCCACTGCCATTGAGTCAAATTCCGACTCAGCGACCTTATAGGATAGAGCAGAACTGCTCCATAGGGTTTCCAAACCTGTAATCTTTATGCAAGCAGACAGGGGCATCTTTCTCCTGCATAGCAGGTGGTAGGTTCAAACTGCCTTTCAGTTAGCAGCCAAGGGCTTAACCACAGCGCCACCAGGGCTCCTGACCAGGAGCAAGAGAGAGAAGAGGAAGAGGGATTAACGGTGAAGGATAATTGCACTGATTAAAGATAAGAGTGCACAGCCAATCACTGTAAGTGCCGTCAATAAGCTTTACACCTTTAAGAAATTAAATTGACAAAAGTTTTGCCATAGGTATCTTTACAACAATGAGAAAAAAAGAGACTAGTTGTTGAGGCTGCTTAGGTACAATGAAAAACCTCCTTGGTTCCTTGGTTTGGAGGTTTAGCGTCATAGTGTCATGCGACTGTTCTACCTCCTTGTTCACTGCATAGTGCCTGGGGTTTCAAAAGCTTGCAAGTGGCCATTCAAGGCACAATTGGTCTCCATGTGTCCAGAGCAACAGAGGTAGAAGGAGTAAAGAATAGCAGGAGAATATGGAATGTTTGGCTAACCTCCATGAACAAGTGCCTCCTCTGCCAAGTGATCAGAAGAACTGGATGGTACCTGGCTACTGTTATTGAACATCCTGATCAGAGTCCACAGAATAATACTAAGGCGAAAACTGCAGAAGAGAATTTCAAATTCTCTAGACTCTAGATTTCTGCAGGCATAGAGGCTGGGTAACCCCTGAAACTACTGCCCTGAGATGATCTTTAAAATCTAGGCCAAAAATATCCCCTGAAGTCATCTTAAAATTAAACATTAGTTTAGCTTTACTAGTAAAGAATGTCTGCCTTGAGCATTGTGCTATTTTAAGAACTATCTCTATGGGATCAAACTGACAACAGCAACTCAAAAGATAAGAACCACAGGGAGCAATGAGTTTATGTTAACCAGTGAAGAACAACTCAGAAAAGAAGGGTGAGAATGTTATACAATTCAAAGAATCTAATCAAGTTCACTAAATTATAGACGCAGAAACTGCTCAATTGGTGTATGTTTTATTATGTATATTCTCAACATCAACAACAAAATAAATTAAAAAAATAAAAGAAAAGCCTATGGAACACACACTTACACACACTTTTCCCCTTACCACAAATCTGGGAATATTCTTACCTAACAAAGGATGTTCAGAAGTTAAATCTTCTCTCCCAACAGTGATAGCTGCTGGAGACAAAGTGGGTGGTGGTGGGGTTCTGTCTGGGCGAACACATTCATCTGCCTCTTCTGGCATTTCTTCTTCACACATATCTTCTACTTGATAAACCTGCAAAGACAAACCATACTGCCTTATAAAATGTTTCCAAAAACGTATTTAGTGAGGTGTTCGTAATTTTAAAAAATTAAACTTTAAGTGTTTTAAATTAAAAAAAGACAAATTACTATTCTGACAGGTTGAAAAGAAAACTCTAAAATCACTCAAAAGAAGTTTTTCATAAACACTTGATAATATTTTAGCAAAAGCAAGCTATGGATCAAGATCTAGGGTAAAAATCAGTTTTCTGAAAAGATGATAATAAGTTATTTTTAAGAATTAAAAAATGATTTTGCATACTCAGATAACTATTTGGGGAATTACATAATCATTTAGCTTCTAAGGTCGTAAATCAAAACAGATAGTAAAATTTATCACAGGGACACTAAATAAATCTCTAAAATGACATATATCAAGAAATATACTGCATTGGGGACTGTATGCCAGCATTCCTTAATATTATAATGTAAATTAAAGATTAAATTATGAGAGGAAATGTCTGAGTACCTAAACAAGCAGTATAAAATCATCTTTTTTTTTTT